ACATAATGCCTACTTCCATCTGTTTGGCTCCGGTGCCCCCATTTAAATGCACCCGTGCTGTGGGTAGCTTGTGGATGGCACCTCCTGCCACTCTTACTGCAACAGTCCTGTTGGTGCGTGCCTTTGCGGACATGATATGAGGCTGCACCAGGGTGAGAGTGGCCCCGGAGTCTCTCAGTGCTTCTGCCTCTTTTCCATCTACTGTGACCCATTGTCTGTGGTGCACACGGTTGTCCCCCTCTGCTTGGGCTAGGTTCACCTTGTGTACTACTGCCCATTGTTCAGAATCAGGGTTGTTGTTTTCAAGCCTCTCGTGTTGACAGTGTTGAGCGGCTACACTCGGTGGTGGTGGTGATGGCCGGTCCCAATTGCCTCTGCTCTGCTGAGGGCAAAGTATTTTGTAGTGCCCTGGCTGATTACATTGGTGACATACCAATGGTGGTCTCCGGTTGTCACCCCCCAGTCTGGGGGTGGTCACAGGCCCTGGCATTGGAGCGCTGAACCTCACCAGAGGACGGTTTCCACTAGCCTTTCCTTTTCTTCCCTCGTGATGCTCATCCGCCAGCTTGGCCGCTTCCTCGACTGTGGCTGGCTTCGTATCTCTGACCCAGTCTCTGGTGTCTGCATGTGTATGATCAAAGAATTGTTCTAGCAAGAGGAGTTGCAGAACCTCCTCTAGCGTTGTGGCCTGACAGCCTTGTATCCAGTTTTGGGCTGCCCGATTAATCCTAAAGGCCCATTCGGTATAGGAGTTTTTCCTGTAAGTTCGGTATAGGACTTTTTCCTGTAAGTCTCTGAGGTCACAGCATACCTGGCTAGCAGAATGTCCTTTACCCTGGCGTAGTCGTGTATGGCTGTATCAGGAACTACTCGGTACGCCTCCGCTGCTCGGCCAGTGAGCTTCCTGCTTAAAAGCGCGGCATATTGCTCTGATTCCAGACCCTCCAAAGCGCACTGACGATCAAAGTCCTGTAGGTATGCGTCAATTTCCATTTCTCCATCCGAAAAACTTTTAAAAGCAGCCCTCTGTGATGAGAGCAATCTCGCCACATTGCATTGGAGAAGCCTGGTTGCTCGCCTGTTGCCTTTGGATTATGGCCCCATGTTAAAAGACTTCTTTTCCCCTGCAGAAAAGGCTTATTCGTGCCTTTCTGCCTGGCGGTCGGTAGATTCAATCTACCGAACTAGCGCACGAATGACTGGACCACCTGGGAGCTAGAGTGTGTCGGCAATTAGCCTCCCAGAAGCTGTGGTTAACCGCAGCTTAATTGACGAATGCTGGGTGGCCTTTGTTCGGTTGCTGAACACGTGGCGGCGGCCATTTTAAAGTCCCGAACGGTCAGCGGTGTTCAGCACCCAAACTATGGAACTGTAAACGGACACTTATTTGCTCGAACACCGCTGAGCCGTCAGCCTCCTTGCTTCTGCATTCGGTCAGTTAACCGAATGCCTGTTCATTTGGTTGTTTAAACCGTATGAACAGCATTACCCCAGATAGCCATCCCGTGGAGTCTATTCGTATGGAGAACAGACTTTAGGAACACTTTAACTCCACGGCGATTGGACTGTGTGCATAGGATGTGAGCGCTATTCCGTACTTTTGTGCGTTCAGATCCCAGCTATCTGGGGATGGGTTGCAAGTATATATTTTTTGTGTTAAATGTATAATGGTGTATAATGGTGTGTTTTAGTGTTTTACTGTAACCATGTGGTTAATGGAGTTTCACGCCTCTGTCCTGGGACATAATTGGATTACTTCCCAATTATCTCCAGGACAGAGGGAGGGAAGTTAGGATGCATTGTGGGGATGTTTTACCTCTGTGTGTCTGTCATTGGTTAATGTCTGTCCCTTGTCACAGTCTCCCATTTGGTCCCCTAGGTGGGAGACTTGCATAAATACTTGGCAAGTAGCCCTCATTAAACCAGACCACTGCTTGACCCTCAACACGGAGACTTGTCTCGTCTTTGGGGGGATTTACTGTATGCTGATAGAGACTGATTGCTAGGAGTGTAAGCCACTTGGGTGCTTTTCTTATTCGTCTGCTAGCAGCTATTCGTGAGGTTCCAGTTTGTGAGTTTGGAGTGCTATTTTGTATGCAGTTCGGGAGTTTGAAGTATTCCCTTACATGCGGTTCGGGAGTTTGGTGTTCTGCAGTAGCTGTGCCTGTATCTCTGGAAGGGGAAGATCTTTTATGCTGAGGGTGCCATTTCACCCTCCATTTGTAGATCCAGATAAGGAAGCAGTGTCTCCTTGGTTTAGGCTTGCCTGTTGTGCTCTGCGTTCTGTGTTCACCTGAGCCAGGACTTGCGCCACCATCTCCGGTGTAGGATTTGGCCCATATAGGTTTAGCCTCCACATCACCTTTTGTTGAAACTCTGCTTCCTCTCGGCTGACATTCGCCATGTTGCTGGTTTGGCCACCCTCCATCAGTTCTGCTATGAGGGTAGCTCTCTTTTTGTTGCTTGCCATCTGACCTCGGACTTCCAGCAGATCTTTCAGCGTCATCCTTTTTAGTTTCTCGTACTGCTGCGCCATTCACCAGCTGTATTTATGAGTCCCATTCAATCCCGTCGCTTGCCACCAGTTATTAAGACCTGCAGTGGTTATGGTACAGCGGTCTTCTATTCCTTTCTCAATAGCTGAGCATAAGTCATTATAACTGCAGTTAGGAGGTAGAGGAATAGTGTAGATGAATGCAGCTTCCAAGACGATTCTCCCCAGCAAGTAGAATATTCCCCAAGCATGAGCCTAGACTTCATGAAGGGTGTAACAGGAATGATTTTTATTGATGCCACACTGGCTTTTATGAGAATCCTCCAGCAAGAGGACATCCCATAGTAAACAAAGACAATACCCAATTAACATACAGATTTACAGTAACACCCGCCCTCTCTCTGCCTGGGAGATATTGAGATAAGTTAAGGAATAACCCAATTATATCCAGGCAGAGGGCACATAATTTTCCCAAAAAATTAGAACACCCCTTTATACAACAGGTATCCCCACAAATGATATCCCCTGATAGCCCCGATCTGGGGGACCAACATATTCAAATTTCACCCAGATTGGTTCAGGGGTTCTAAAAAAGTATGGAGGTCATAAGTTACGGACCACACACGAGGCTCCTGCCCAAAACAGTTCCACAAATTCAGCGTGTGTGGTCGGTCAATTCAGTAAATGGCATAAAAACGAATAAAGTCCCGGATGGATCCTCCTGGCTCATAGGAGGGATTGCTCCCCTTGTTCGTATGAACCAAACTACCGAATGGCGCTCTACTGGTTGTTCGGCAACTAAAGGAAGCAGGCATTCGTATGTTTCAGCGGTGGTTCGGGAGGTCCAGTGTCCGATTTTAGTTCCAGACACTCGACAACCAAGTCCCGCTGCCTCCTTTCCTGCAAACAAGATGGCCGCCATTTTCTGTTCCACGTGGCATTCAGCTATACGAATGGCGGCCGCCCAGAGAGCACTTAATAGATGGTTCTTTTTGATGTTAATGAGCCAGGAGGGTGGTCGGTGTTCGGTAGTTTTAAAACTGCCGAACCAATAAATCCAAAATAAACGAAATGTTGCAGAAAAGCATGAACACAGAAGAAAATGCAGAAACTCTGTCTATTTTCTTCACAACAGTGACTGGCGTGTATCCACGTGGCTTTTCCTTCTAGTTTCACCAAGGTGGCTGTGGTTAACAACACTTGGAAGGGACCAAGGCTCAAGCCTTTTTCTCACATGTCTTTTTATCACTACCCAATCTCCAGATTGTGGTTTATGAGTGGTAGAACTGGGGTCTGGATCTGGAATAGAATCAAACACTTGTTTATGCACCTGCCCTAACTTCTTATGCAGGGCCTGGACATAGGAGGTCATGTTACTATGTTGTAATTAGAGTGTCTGGGGGAAACAGAGTCCTGTCTTGGGGGCACATCCAAACAAAATCTCAAAAGGTATAGGCTATTTCTAGAAGAGTGTTAGTGGAAGGCATTCAGTCCAAGGCATCCCTGACTTGTGCATGGCTTTTGCAATTTTATTCTTTAGGGTGCCATTTGCCCTTTCTCCTTCCCACTACTCTGGAGTTATAGGGGTATGGAAGGCCTGACTGATCCCTTGTGCCTTCATTATTTCTTGCATTATTTCACCAGTGAAATGACTACCTCTGTCACTTTTAATCACTTCAGGTACCCTGTATCTACATACTAGTTCCTTCAGAAGCTTTCTATCTGTGACCTTTGTTGTGGCTTTCGAAACTGGGTAGGCCTCAGGCCAGCCTGAAAAGAGATCAATGCACATCAACATATATTCATACACTCCTACCTTAGGCAGTTGAATATAGTCTATCTGCAGTCTCTGAAACAGGTAAAGTGGCCTTGGGATATGTTTACCTGGTGTTTTGACAGCCTGTCCGGGGGTTATTCCTAGCACAAATCATGCAAGCTCGGGTATGCTTAGCTGCTACAACAGTAAACCCAGGTGCCACCCAATGGGTATTTACTATACAATTCATGTTCATCTTGGATAAATGTGTAGGTCCATGGGATACTTGAGCCATCAGAGGGTACAATACTCTTGGTAAACACAGTCTTTTATCTTTTCTCCACGTCTTGTCATCATCAAGTTCTGCATCTTGATTCCTCCAGAGATCTTGTTCTTGTTTGCCTGCTAGCCTTTGCAGGCTCAACAATATATTGTAGTCAACAGTTGTAACGGCTACCCTGGTAGAGAGAGGGTATCGGCCGTTGGAGACGTCCTTTTTCCCTGCAAGCTGCTGTGGAGAAGTAAGCTGGTATAATCCCATTCACGATATCCAGAGTAAAAGTCAGGTTCAGCTGTAGCAGGAGCAGAATAACATTCCCAAATAATCCCCTTCCAAGAACGAGACAAGGCTACGTTTTGCAGGGTCAAGAAGATCTGAGGTCTGGGAAACCCAGCCTGCTTTTTATTAGGAACAAGTACACACAGGACACTCCCAGGGGGAGGATGAAAATAACCAATTACACACAGGGTAACACCCCCACGTCTCCTCCCCTCAGATAAACATATAACATAATTATAACGTACATAAATTTACCCACATTCTGGATGTACCCCAAAAACAGGGGGTACACCTTTAAGTCCAGCACCGCTTAATAGCTACCACTCAGGGGAATAACATATTCAAATTTCGAGTCATTCGGTTGTGGGGTTCGGGAGTTATGGGTCTTTGAAGTTTTGACCGACCGCACAGGATTTTCAGCCGAAAAGAGTTCCACAAGTTTTGGCCTTGCGGTCGGTCCCCGTTCGTGAATAAAAACCCCACGAACCCCTTGCCCTCCACAGTAATCCTGCCGTTCGCCTGAATCCCCATGCATGCTTAAACAAAACTACCGAACGGCCGGTCGTTCGGTAGTTTCAGCACGAACTTACGAGCTCCTGGAGGTCTCAGCGGCGTTCGCCTGTTTGCGTATCCGTTTTTAGTTCCATGCGTTCACAGGCAAACACCGCCGTTCGTGCGTAAGATGGCCGCGAACACGTGTAAAGTCCCGAAATGGCAGCCACCTATTCTTAGACAAAGGGATTCGTCTGAACCAGGCGAACGGCTGTATTCTCCAGTAATGATATTCCCTTGCAATGATTTCGCCATTTTCACTGTTTTAGTCCACAGGGCTTTGGTGCTGGTGAAGTCCTGTTACAACAGTCTTTTCTGGAAAGACAACCTGTAGGACGGTATTACCTGCAGAAGGATGAAGTTGGATTGCTTCTTACTTGGCAGCTTCGTCTGCTTTCGTCTGGTTTCCTCTTGTGATCTTCATGTGAGCTGCCACCTTGATGATGCCTTCTTGAGTAGGTAGCAGGATAACGTCCATAAGTGCACTCACGGCTTCAGAGATGTTGATTGGAGTTCCTGCTGAGGTGAGAAAATTACAAGCCCACCATATAGGCCCAAAATCATGGGCTATACGGAAGGCATAGCGAGAGTCTGTGTAAATATTAGCTGTCTTACCAGTGGAGGGTTTGCACGCTTCAGTGAGTGCTTTCAGCTCAACCGCCTGTGCAGAGCAGTGAGGGGTGAGTGGTTCAGCTTTAATTATCTCATGTGCAGAGACTACAGCAGATCCAGTGTGGAAATTGCCCTTCTCATCAGCATATCTGGAGCCATCTACAAAAAACTCAAAGTCTGGATTAGGCAATAGAGACTCAATTACATGTGAAAAACCTGCTGTCTCTTGTGCTATTAATGCTGCACAATCATGGGGTACCTGGGCCTCAGCTAACTCGTCTGGTGACAGGGAATTTACAAATCACTACTCCCCTCTTTTAAATCCATGGGAAGCAATGTATATGGATTTATCACCATACATCTCTTTAGGGTTACATTTGGAGGCATGAGGAGAGCACACTGCATCTTTAGATACCTTGCAGTATGTATGTATTTTGGCTGAACTTCTGATAGAATGCTTTTAATGTCATGTGGGGTGTAAATGGTAACAAGATTGTCTATGACAATGTTGGTGTCTTTGTCCAGTAAGGCAGTAACAACAGCTACTGCTCAAACACAGGTATGGGAACCTCTGGTAACAGGGTCTAACCTTGTGGAGTAATAGGCAATGGGTCTCAGTTTCCTACCATGGTCCTGAGTGAGGACAGCTGTTGCATAACCAGCCTGCTCGCTGCAACATAGGGTAAAGGGTTTTCAGTAATCTGGGAGACCCAGCACTGGAGTTGAGGTGAAAAGCAACTCAAGAGTGTAAAAGGCTTCCTCTGCTTTAGGAGTTAAATGAAAGCAATCATACAAAGGCGAAGAAAGAGGGGCTGAGAGAGTCAGTAAGGGGTCTGTGGGCTAAGAAAGTAGGACATGGACCCAGGAGTAAGTAACTTGAAAAAAAAGGGAAAGAAACAAGGTTTCTAGCCCGGATATATGGATAAAACGTAACATTTATTTTAGCAGTCAATAAAATAAGTTAACGTATGGCCAGAAGGTGGCAGCTCTTAGAATAAATGAAAAATCTAACTAAATGTTGTAAAGTGATTAATCACACAATATATATACAAAAAAAAATATAAGGGGGGGAAAAGAAATAGAAAATATACATATGTACAAATGGTGGTAGCACTAGAGCTGAGTAGCAACAGTGTGAGAAAAAGTTGTCACTATATCAGTATGTTACACCATGTATTCCTAGTTGTTATAAGTGCCAGGGGAAACCCTTGGCGAAACAGTACATACCTCTGTGTATGGCTACCAGAGGTATGTACAAAGAAGTCCTGAAAAGGACTGAGTGGTCTGAATAGACCAATAAAGCACTGAAGTTTTGTAGTAAGGTAGATGAAACAGTGGTAGAAAATTGAAAAGCTTGATAAGCTGAACGTCTGTACAGTGCTTTCTAAGGCTCCTGTTAGGAGTCTATAAATGTAGCGATAGCTATCTCTTGTCAGTATTCCAATTTACTGTTTACCTATCAGAGTACAATTTGATACTGCTGTTAGTATTTAGCTAATCTGTGCCTTCAAGGGCACCTGTGTTTGCCAAAGGTAAACAAAATCTAGCTGTCATAATTGAGCAGCTTTAAAGAATTAATCAATCTGCTAAGTATTGTAGCTGTTCTGTGCCTTCACGGGCATCTATGAAAGAAAGAGTTAACTAACTGTCACTAATAGAACCGAACAATCACAGTCTATGATATATTAACTATGCTGTGCCTTCAAGGGCACCTATTGGGGTTGAAGTATAAAGTTAACTTGCTGTAGAATTTTTATATTAAGATCTAGAAATACCAGGTGTTCTGAGTCAATGACCTGTTAACTTGAGGCCTATGTGTAAAAATAGAAACAGAACTTTTCAGAAAGAGCACCGCCACTAATAGCTTGTTAAACTGGACCAGCCATCATCCAGTCAAACTGAAATCAGAGATACCATTTAGCCAATATTTGAGAGCCAGATGAAACTGCTCAAATGACCTTTCAGGTAGAAGCCAATAAGCTAAGGAGAATGTTTAAACAGTATCCCAACAAAACCCTAAAAAGAGCCTACCAATGAGCAATGGCAATAAACAGAAGTGAAAGCCTAAGAACCATCAGACCTAAGGTAGAAACAAAGACAATTTGGTGTCTGGGCACATTTGACCAATATTGGGACTCATTACAAAAAAATCATGTCCCAAAACTGGCCCATTTTACAACATGATACTGATCTGAATGAAAATATTGGCAACTTTCTCCAAATCACGGCACGCAGAGCAAAAAAAACAAAGAGATTATTTGTTCCACAGCCACATGGAACCAACAACAAAAAAAGCACAATCGACTTGGTTAAAACAAACCACCGGAATTTACCGATGTGGACACTGCAAAGCCTGCCAATACATCAAACCCACCAAAATTGCAATAAGCTCCAAAACAAAAATGAAAAATACAAGATTAAGGAGTTTATCAATTGTAGCTCCACAAGGGTTATTTACCTAATAACATGCAGTTGTGGGATCCAAAATGTAGGTAAGACCTACCAACAATTGAGACAAACGATCTGTTACGGTACCCTCAGCATTAAATGTACAAACCGCTCTTTAGTGAATGCTCCCCTCTCGCAATAGCATAGGCTGCATGCATATCAGGTACAATCATGCGAACCGCAAGCTGAACCGCAAGCCGGGAAACACTGTAAACTCACGAACTGCCAGTATTAGCTGAACGCATATATCTCCCAAGCGGCTAATAATTCCATCCAGCAGTCTCTAGTCGTCGGTAATAAATCCCCCCAATAACGAGACCAAGCTCCGCATTGAGGGTAAAACACGAACTGGCTTTACTGTGGGCGACCTGCCCGTATTTATGCAGGTCTCCTGTCACGGCAAGGGTGTATAATTTATTATTACACTATGGAATATCATCTTTTAATGTAATTTGTGTAGTAAATAGCACAAATTACAGAGATGCTATTGCTGAGGTCAACAGGAGTTACATCTTTTGAAGCTTGGACCCCCACAGAGGTCAGATGACAGAAGGGGTAGTGTGAATGGCATAGCAATGTGAAAAGGATTTTACTATATGGATGTGAAGTAATCAAGGATCTGCAAGGTGTGAGGTTCTACACTTGGAAAAGTCTGAGTGTCTCTTCATCCATTTGGCATGTACCTTGTAAAGGATAGTTCAATCATTTGAAATGGTAATGGGATTCGTTTCATGATGATCCTTGTGTTCCAGTATCTTATCCAAGTGAAACATTCATACTTACCCACAGGTTAATAATTAAGCCTCATTTTTATTATATTTGGAATGGGACATGCCCAATCTTTTAATTAAGCCCAAACATGAGTTGCACAACTTAAACCGTGTGGCATGACTTGTGATGTCCATCCTATTGGATCGTGGGCGGGGTGTGCAACATGTCTTTGGAATGGGAAAACAATAACAAATTCATAGAGGCGATTATTATTTCTGTGGTAAGTACAGTAGAGGAGATAAAACCAAAAGTTTGTATGTGGCTTGTTGGCTTCTGGAACAAAGAGGTGGTCACTTAGTATCCCTATTGCTCCACCCCTGGATGAGGCGTGGCAATTCACAGGGTATATCTCCTGTGATTCTGAAGGGTGTTTGTGTACTTGCTTGGGGCCAAGATCTAATTTTGAGTGAGTCACCATCTTTCCTTGCCAGAGACCCCCTGGACAGAAGTTGTACTTTGAAAACCTAAGTGAGTAATTAGGACTTCTGTATTTTATCCTTTTTGTTTTTATCTGTTGTTGATGTAAATAATTTGTTTATCGTATATTGTTATGACCATCTTTTGCTCATAATAAATATTAATTTATTAAGTTTTGCCTTTGTCTGGTTAAGAATCACGTTACCTGAAGAGACTAGTTAGTATTTTTATAATTCCTTAAATATTGTGCTAAGTAATATTTGGTGGGTTTTATTATTGATTTACCTGGGGGACCAAGGCACCCCATTTATTAATTGTCTTGGTGGTGGCAGTGTTAAACTAGTAATAGTTATAGTATTATGTTTAAGTGTGGGTGGTGTTAAAGGGGGATTTTGTCATTATTTCTGGTCTAGTGCAGACAAATAGTGAACTTTAATCCTTTCACAACCACAACTACGTCACGTGCACTCTTGGAGTAGTGTGGTTCGTGACATCTCCCACTTGGTGGACACTCCCCTAGGGGACCAAATGGGAGACTATGACAATAGACAGACATATGGCAGGTCAGGACCCACAGACACAGAACATTCCCACAATGCATTAGTATTCCCTCCCCTCTGCCCTGGAGATAATTGAGAAGTAATTCAATTATCTCCAGAACAGAGGCAAATCGTCA